CGGCCCCAACCATCAGTGATGGTTGGGGCCGATGAGGCACCATCTTAAGACAAAAGAAAGAACGGCCGATTGAATCAGCCGTTCGCTTACCTGAGTAGCGATCGATCCAGCGGATCGTTCGTGGTTTTAGCTACCCTAAACAAGGAAAAGAAGAGGAGGGGAGGTCAGCATGATCCTCAGCCTCCTCTTCAGCCACAACCATCAGTGATGGTTGTGGCAGAAGAGGCAATAATCTCAAGGGGACAAAGATCCCATCAACATACACAGGGGCCAAAGGGCCCTGATCATCATAGGAGAAAAAGAGTAACTCACCGTTGGATTCCTAATGGGGCCAGGCTCTTGTGTCAAAGGAGGTGGGTGAGCTGAGCTGGAGTTTGGGTGATGGATGAGATGTGGCTTTCTGATTAGAAAAATCTGAGTGAGTGGTTGAGATGAGTGAGTCCAAATAACAAAAAAAAAATCGTCTCATAATAGATTCGATTGCCAGTACAGGCCTGTATAACACAGGGCTTTGACTGAACTTGAGACATGGCCTCAAGGGTCAACTGGCTGAGCCCTGGTTGCCTGATTCATTGGAAGTTATTTGCTCAATGTTCTCAAGTGCCATGGATGACATGAATAGAGGCAATAATAAAGGAATTATAATTGCTTAAGTCACCATTAAAACTATATACATGACAAGGTCAATCATGAAATCGTGACCTCAGCGCCTGGGTGCCCAGTCTGACAACTGAGATCAGCCCCAGATCCTCATCCGTAGGGCCAGGTGTTTGTTCATTGGTTAGTCCAGTGTTACCAGTGGTGTGTCCGATGTTGCTTGTGGATTGACTGATGTTGCTGGTGGATTGGTGGCTGACCCTGCTGGATTGACTGATCTCGCTGGCGGTTTGTGGGTTGTTGCTGGTGGATTGAGCAGTGTTGACGGTGGCTCGGCAAAAGAGGCCCAGGTCATTGGCAAAGTCGTCCGGGGAACTGGGTGGCGGGACCCAAGGGATTTCGACCAAGTCGGGTAGTTCAAGGGCTTTGCACACCTTGTTGCACTTGTGCTTCTCGAGAAATAATTCCATGTACTCTTTGGCATATTTATTCTTCCACATAGACCTGTGGATTCAAAGGGTATAGAAATTATGAGTGTCAAATACAGCCATAAATAGGACAGATGTATAGCACGTACTTGGTGTTCAAATCTACAATGTGTGGTTTGGAAAGAAGGGTATCGTGGCCTTTAAATTTTCGAATGGTGAGCTGGCCACGAGTATGATTATAGACCCAGTGTTGAAACAAGTGGAGCAAAAATTCGGTGGGAGAGCGAGGTTCACCGGTGAAGTAGACATCGTTTTCAATTGACAAAAGGCAAGTATAGCCGCCGGTGATTTCTTCTTCCATCCAGAACACTCGAGATGGTTCATTGTCAATATTGACAGACCGGAGAGGGTAGTTGGGTTCTTCAGTGGAATCAAACATATCATCATCCTGACCAGGAACGTATTTATCCTCATGTCTTGGTTGAGTAAAGATGTCATGGTGAACAGGAAATCCATCGACAATCTGATGGGTAGTTGGTCAGACCAATAAATTTGTAGAGGATTTGAATAGCAGACACACTCACACGTAACCTTTTTGCCGTCCGCCCAATAATTGTCCCACCTGCCGACTGACTTATAGCCTGACAGAATTGAGCCAGGAATTGCCTGGAAACCGCATAGGTCCTCAGCCAATAGTTTGGTACATATGCATATGAATCACATGTTAGATCCTTGCGGACTCGAGAGTATTCGGCTACCATGGGAAAAACCGTTCCAGAGTCAAAAACCTCGGCTGCTATGATTTTGGTCGTCTCTTTCACCTTGAAACATTTATTATAATTAACACGGTAGAGACAAATATTCTGAGGCATGTTGAGCCCATCGGGATCCAGGCTGAATCGAACTCCATCAACCCAGTCAGAGTTGTCGGCATCTTGGTATGACAAGGAGTTCTCCATGCTCCCAAATCTCTCCCATGATAAATTGTTTGGATCCAAGATTGTTTCGGCTCGCCCTAATAACAAATTCTTAGTCACTTAAGTCAGGTGGTTATTTACAATAGTGACACTTACAAGGTGGGAGGATCCTAACAATCACAATTTCATCGTCCAAGTTTCTCTTCAAGGCTTCAACATGGGGGTTGGTCTCTTGTTGAATGACTGAGGAGAATTTTGGCTGTTCATCGTGGTCGTTCCGAACCACCAGCTGAGAGGGAGGAGGAACAAGTGATTTATTCTGAGGTAAATTAGTGGTTGGAGTTGACCGGGTTGCTGATGATAAAGAAGGTAGACTTGGAGGAGGAGGTAAAGTTGATCGATTCTGGGGTAAAGTTGTGGTCGATGTTGAACCGGTTGCAGATGTGAAAATGGTCGAAGGAAGACTGGATTCAGAGCTGTCACTTTCAGCGTCTGAATGCAAATCTTCATGATATTCAGTGTCCTTTCCTGATCGGAGAGCATATCGTGCAGCTTGAGCGTCAATTCCTTCTTGTTCTTCTTCATCAAGGGTGTGCCGTTCAAAGGTGTCCCGGTCATAAATCAAGTCGATCGCCTTTTCCCGCCTTAAGAAAGCGACAAACGATTCGTAATCTTCAACAGATCCTCCTTTCTTGGTGCCTAACCAACAAAACCTGAAGTGCTCGACACCAAACATTTCCCTGTCCTCAGTCATCTTTGTCCGGAGTTCCACTTTACCGTTGAACTTGTTGCAGAGCGTGTCGATCAGCTCTTGAAAAGAATCAGGATTTGACCAGAGCACAAACTGATTGCTTCGAATGACCGATTGCAAAGGGGCATATTTGCCTCGGGCCCACATCTCAAAGCCACATTGGACCGAAATCTTATCGGGAGGATTCGTAGCAGGTAGGGCACCTTTACTTGCCGGAGCTCTTCTTGCAACTGTACGTCCGACTCGGTTGTTCGGGTAAGGTTGAGTTTTCGAGACTCTTGAAGCTCGGGCCGATTCGTATGCAGGGTTCAAGATGGCTGGGACCACAGCTGTGTTGGTAGTAATAAGGTTACAGGTGAGTTACAACGTTTTCAGTAGAACTATATGGGATTTACATGCATGAAATTGCATACTTTGACTGCTGCCGGTCGATCCATTCACCACTGGGTTCACGGCAATAGGAAATGCCATGGAATGTGATGCTTGGGCTGATTCGTATGCAGGGTTCAAGACCGCAGGGACCACAGCTGTGGTGGGGTATTAGACAGTAGTAATAAAGTTATAGGTGAGTTTTAATGTTTGAAGTAGAACGATATGGGATTTACACGCATGAAATTACATACTTTGACTGCTGCCTGTCAATCCATTCACCACTGGGTTCACGCCAATAGGAAATGCCATGGACTGGCCGAGTGGGCTGGGGACAGTAGGTGTGGTGATTGGATTGGAGTATAACGCTCTGGCCCTTTGGATTGCCTCTTGCCGTTTAGATTGGAGAACCTCTTGAGCCGAGGTCAATTGGCCAGTTGGAGGTCTGATTTTTGGAGGAGGTGCTGAGTTTGGAATCATTTTGTCGACACAGTCGTTGCATAATCCACGGAATACCACGGGAGATTTTCCACACTGGAAACAGAACATCTTTTTTTCTATGCAAGTTACGTTAGCTGTGTTTGGCTATTAAGGGTGCATAAGTATGGGATTCTGCTGCTTACTCTTGATCTAGAAATGGAAAGGACTGGGTCGTCTTGATGTTGTGAGGACAGGACTGGATCGTCTGGAAGCTGTAAGGGAAGGGCTGGATCGTTGTCTGGATGTGACTTATGCAAGGCTTGTTTTGTCCTTATGTGTAACGAGTAACGGGTAACACTATGGAACAAACAGAATCTATGTGTTTACATTTCTGATACAGGTGGGGAATGTGGCTTCTGTAGTGCGCCATGCCCTGTATGATTTTCAGGCTGTATTTGACATTTTCCAAAATTGATGGCTAATTTGGCGGTTCAGTGCCATGCATGGCGGCTCAGGGGCAATGATGGCGGCTCAGGAGCATGGGTGGCCAATTTGGCGGTTGGATTCATTTTTCAATTTGGCCATTCTGGCGGTTCAGGGGCGTCATTTGGCGGTTGTTTGGCCAAATTGGCGGTTCATCCCCATGTTTTCATTTTTTTTGGCCAAAATGGCTGCTCAGTACCTCCATAACAAAGGCACCTTTGCAGTATCACATGTCAACTACACACAGCTACCTGGCTTTTTCTTGCTGTAAAACCAGAAGAAAAATAAACATTATGAGAATTACTAAAAATTTCTCCCAAAAAACAAGCCCATTTATAATTGATGGCTCAGTGTGATACCACTAACAGCCCACAAAAACAACAGCCAGTAGTGTGAGCAGTATTCTGCTGTGTGTTGCTTTGCTACCACTAATCTATCAATGGTAGTGTAGTGTGCCCACTGTTGACTGAGTAGCACTCTGTAACTGTGATGTACCATGACCAAGTCTTCGCTGTGGGAATTTAGAATGCCCACTCTATTCAGGAAAGTACCAGAGCCAAGTTCCAGTGCTATGTATATGTACCGACTGTTGCTGGTGATCTCCCAATTAAAAGGGAGCCCTACATGGCGCTGGATGCTGACAAGGCTGGAGCTATAACTATGTATATGTTTGTGACTATGATACACACCTTGAGTGCTCCAATTACCAGTAGGAATATCAGAATCTTGGTCTCCTGGAAGCTGGAAGTCTTTCTTTTGTCTAGGCCTGGTCTCCTCCTAAAGGGGGCAGAGACCATATCGCTCTCTTTCCTACACATAGAACCGGTGGGTCCCTGGGCGTCGAAGAGAGGCTACATCTCCCTCTTTCCTGCAGTCCCACTCAGTCTCCATCTTCAAGGAAAGCACGGTCGTGCCCCTCGCTTCCCTCCAGAAACCGCTCGCTTCCAGAGCCGAGAAATGGTACACCGTTCCTTAAGGAATAAGAGAGACAAAATCATTGGGATTGATGTGGTTTTTTTTTTTTTTTTTTTTCTTGTACAATCATGATCGTTGCTGAAAACTTCTGTACTAGAGTCTTCACCCATGTGCTAAGCTTGACAAAACATCCAACCTCTCGATAGCACTGTGAAACATATTTCAAATCATTTACATCGGTTGATTTTTTTTTTGTACGAAGTGGATTGTGAGTGATCGTTGAGCCGGATGTTTGTTGTGATTGGTCTGGTTTCGAAACAAGACGGATCCAACAAGCTGACTGGATCCCCCAATACTCGATATACATTTCATTTCTTTTCAAACAGGTCTAGACTCCATATCGATTGACCTGACGATTTCCTTCAAGGCACGTTGATTGGCTTCGACTTCTGCTTCCAAACTCTATTGGTTGTTTGTTTTGTGAAATGGATCAGTCGAGATGCTCGGCGTGATAAATGTATGTATGAATTTTGGAGAGAGAAAGATGAGAGACTTGCCTTGATCCTAGTGATCAATTTATTGACATCGTCTTCGGCCGATTTTTGTTTAGTTTTGAGTCCATCATCGATCGAGGTTCGAGACTTGAGCATGAACCTAAGAAAAAGAGCCGCAGAAAGATCGTCAACAATCTCCCTCTCTCTCTCTTAGTGAACGAAAATGGAGAGGGGGGAGGAGAGGACATACATTTTCCCAACGGGTTGATAAAAACGAATATCGCCCGTCGCCAGTTTATTTAATTCGGTCAGAGTAAGAGACGATTGTCGAGCCACTCGAACCTTATGGCCCAGCTCGGCCCGACATCGTGTTAGTTCTCTGGTCACGTCTCTGGCTTGTCGTTGAAGCTGTCCTAAGATCTGCTCATTCCTCAAAAAATTAAAATAATAGCGGTTAGTAAACCAATATATATTTTTTCTTTTGGGGATTTCATGTGTGAAGATCAAATAAGCTCACCTACATTCCTAATCTCATCGTTCTGTTGATCGTTAGACATCTTCTATCAATCCTTTTGTATAATTAAATATGTGCTGTTGACAGTGGTGTTTTTGGCCGATCGATAATGAGTTGGTCGACAAAATATGTAAGTGAGTCCCCGACCGGGCGCTTCGGGTGCCCCGCAGCATATACCCGATTTGTTTCCCCGGCTATGTATCGGTGGCCCCGAGCAGCCTGTATTATGTAATCGACCTGTATGTATGATTATCTCCTTCTCCATCCTTCTCCATGATGATTGATTCCCTCCGTCTGAGACCGTGCTCTTAAAACACCCTATACTTTAGCACCCGCTGTACATATCTTGTCCATCTCCAAGACATGAATAGATAGCCATCGGTTTTGCGGCCGAATTTTTCTGTTAATCATCTTACAGAGATGCTCAATCATGGTCAAAAACACCCACTACTTGTGGATCCTCCTCCATGATACTTGTGTGGATTCTAATTAATGATGGTGTTGTGCTTTATGTTTTGGCTGAGTTTCTTATTTTTTGAAGAGTGAGGGAGAGAAAGAGCAAACAAAACAACCGAGCAGCATTGACACTCTTTAATTGGGATGATGCAGATGAAATAATATGATAGCCAGATCGGGAAATTAAAAAAAAAAAAAGAGAGAGAGAGCGGCTATGTGCATACAAAACAGCACAAGAAGACTTCAAAAGAACCCCGACGATTGGGTTTGCTTTGTTGACCACTTTTGTCCAATCCGAACCAAAACAGCCTCCAACCCACCAGCACCAGCTCCAACCTCACCAACAACACAGGTGTAAAGATTCAGACTCCTCGACCATCATGAACAAGAGCGTGTACTATTCGCCCCTCTTCCTCATCCTCTCATCCCTCATGGTCTGCTCGATCGATGCCCACTCGTCTCATAACGACAGTCCCGCAGACCCATCGGCAGATTTCTTGACGGTCCATATGGACAAGGAGCATCACATCCAGGTACGCAACATACACAGAAAGTGCATGTCTGAGATCAAGCACTGATTTGATGCTCTCTCTTGACTCTTTTCGCGCTCCAAAAGGGATTCGACTTAGAATCGGCATTCCATCTACACGACCTGAACTCGGACAACATCCTCGAAGCCTCGGAGATCCTCAAGCTCTATGGAGTCGACCACGAGACGGCCATCGACCAGTCCCTCTCCGTCGACCATCACAACTCTGTCGCCTCCAGAATCCTCTCCGAAGTGATGGAGAAACTCGACCTTAATCAGGACGGCTTGATCACCAAGTCCGAGTTCGTCTCCGTCGTCAGTCGCGACGGACTCCCGAAATTCGACGATATCTCCGGCTTGGGCCATCATTATGATGAGGAGGGCGAATACTTCTTACAGTCAGTCCATTTTTTTTTCTTTCTTATTGATTAGGGTTGTACTTATATATTATAAAACGCTTTTGGGTGATAATAGCCACGAAGAAATGTTCCACAACAGTCCGGATTCGCAGAAAGAAGAAGCCTACATCCACCCAGAAGACATCGAGCATTTCACGCACCACGAGGAGATCGAAGTGAAGGAGGACGAGCTAGCGCGGCTTGCGCAGGGCTTGCCGGCGGATGTGAACACGCTCGAGTACCGCAAGATGCGCGAGGAACATGCCCAGCTCGAGCAGGAACGCGAACGCAGAGTCGACGCCGTCCGCGCTCAGGCCGCGAAGTATAACTCCATCCATCTCGAGGCTCAGCGCAGAGGCTCCTGGAATGGGTTCAAGAAACCCGTCGATCAGGCCGATCGGCTCCGTAAAAATATCCCCTATAAGGTTCGTCTGTTTAGCAGTTCCCTCCCCCCTTTGTTTTTCTTTTCTGTTGCTTGGCTTGGCACTTATTCCTTGCTTTTTTTGGGGGGGGGTTCTTGGTATTAGTATAAGCTTCGAAAACCTTTTTTTGGAGAGTTTTGATTCCACATTCTCTTTCACAAAATTCAAAAATATCTCTTTTACACAACAAGCATCTCTTTCTCTCCTCCTTAAACTTCCTTTTCTTCTGCTTACCTGTATTCATCGTTCCATGATTTCCAAACCCTGGATTGATTCCAATCACAAACAAACAAACAAAAAATTAGCAGTATTGAGATATAAAGACATTCTTCTTTGAATAAAATCCTTGTATTGTTGTTCTTTATGGTTTCCTTGTTTGGTTGTTGTTATGTTGTTGAACTCTCTTCTCTCTTCCTCTCTCCTGGAAATCTGCAAAAAGAACTAGACACAGCAGTTTTGTATGTTTCTCTATTGATTTTGTGTGTTTGTTTATCCGCTGGTGATCTTCTTCTTTGTTGTTATTGTTACTAATAGAACGATTTTCGTTCCTACTTGTCCATCCTTCCTTCCACACAAACACAAACAGACAAACAGACACGGGCCCATTTTTTTAGCATGATCAAGTGATTGATGTCCTGCAAGTTAGCCTTCCAGGAGCTGGCCATGGCCGTCCATGCGGTTGACACATTTGAGGATTGTCTGAACACTAAGGTTGAATGGGACTCCGAGGAACTTGCAATCCTTCAACAGTTCCTTGAACCTTTCATCAATCGTATGTAAGATTCATTGTTGTTTTATCTTGATTCACAGCCCATCTAAGAATTCCAACCACTGAGCCTGAGATGGATTGTTTGACTTTCAGCCACTGTACTTATGGAGTGCAACACAGTACCCAAATATCAACTATGCCTATACTGGGCAATGCCAGCAATTGAAAAACAACTCACAAGTGCTCAAAACAGAACAGCAACCTTCCTTATCTGACCAACATGATCATACTATTACTGATGAAGGACAAGTTGATCAAGCATTGGGTCCTGATGAAGGAATTTCTTGTGATTGGGGTCAGTCTTCTTGACCCCCGCTACAAGATGTGATATCTCTGCTTCTTTAATCTTGAGCAGCAATCAGCACCTCACTTCTTGGGAAACGTTTGGGCGGCCTTCTTACAATTGTGGAGCCAGTATGTTCCACCTGCCCTGGCTAAATCTGCAAGTCCATCTAGTAGCTCAAAGAGAGAAAAAAAAAGCTTCGATGAAGTAACATCTGCCTTTCATCAGTTCATTGATGGGAACATGGTCGGCTCTCAACCAAATGCACCCCGAGGGGAACTCAATCTGTACCTCAAAGAACGCAATCTCATCCTCTCTGAAAACGAAACTTGCTCAGCTGCTGGCAAAACAACTCGGCTTGATTCCCATCTCTATCCAAACTGGCAAGGTTGGATTCTAGTGACCTCAATCATGGCATTGGATTCTGCTTTCTCTACATGAGGTTGGGTGCTTGATGACTATCAATTGCGCCTCAATGAGGAATTGGTCGAAGCATTAATTAATGTGCACCCAAGTTGAGTACAGTTCTCTTTCTTATTTTCAAGATTTATTGATGTTTTCAGCTGCTCCAACCCTCCTGTCCCCCCCATATGAAATGAAAATCAGGGCCCCAATTGTTAGGCCCGCTGGCAGTCAGTGGGTGGCCCTTCTTATAAATGAGTTGAAGTCAGGCCTCATTTCGAGTGATTTTACCCTGGCCTAACCCGCCTGCTAAGCTGATGGACATGCCTCGGGCTGCCTCTGGGATCCCTGAACCCGGCCCGGTGCCCTAGTTCAGCACTTGGAGGTACCTGAAAAAAATCAGCTTTTGTTGTTACTATAGACATGTTCTTGTTTTCTAGGTTAAATGTGTGTCCAGGAGTAAAAGTGGGGATTGCAACTGGAATGTCAGAAGAAATGATTGTTTGAATGTCTTGAGCAAGTCTATTAACACAAAGGTACAATTTGCATACAGGAAGTCAAGAAGATCTACTAAATCAGAAAGAAAAGTCCATCATGTTATGTACAACCTCTATTTTGCATGACAATTGGGAGGCAGAATTATGTTTGCAAGCCAGTGGTTAGATCTTTAGCTTTAAGCATACTGCTCTCCCTGATCAGGTCTTCCTTCAGATTGGTAGTCCCCCATGCTTTCTGCAGGCCTCAGTAACATGTTGTTTATGATCCTTGATACTAGAGCGTATGTCTTTTTTTTCCAATCAAAGAACGAAAACATTTGTTGCGAATTAGTCAAAAGATATAAGAAGAAAAGGAACTCAAATGAAACCAAAATTAAATCCATACCTCCGGATCGACAATCACAGACGGGTACGTTGAAAACACATTCATCGGTTTCTGATTTTGGGAAGTTACTGGATTGATGTAAAGCGTTTGTGAGACCACTTTCGAGTCAGTAGCATTCAACAACCTCATCGCCCAAAATGAACTGGACTAGTAAGAGAGCGACGAACCCTTTGGTGTAGGGATTATGTCCGAATTCGTTATGTTTTTGCTGGCAATTCACAGACACTTCGATAATCATTTTGGTGCTGAATTCGAAAATCTCGTTGACGACGTTGGCATTCGGGATAGCATTGACTGATTTATCTCCGACCGCACGGATGATGTTGTACATTCTTCACACCGATCGATTTGGTGGCAGAAAAATTCAGTCTTTAACGTTCTGTTTTTTTTTTCTTCTGGTGGAAAAAAGAAACAGTTCACAAGATACTTACGGCCCTCCATGCTCCGGACAGTAGGATAGCCTGTCTTTTTGCGGCCAAGCGCCGTTTTCTCCTTTGTCAGTACAGACCTTTTATTTTTCAGAAATCGGGGTTTTTTTTTGTCAGCAGTGAGTTTGACAACTCGTTGCATTCGCGGAACAAGTGCTTACATCGGCACCAATCGTGATATACGAATTCTGTAGAAGTTTTTTTTTTTTGTAAAATGAATAGATACGCATATATTATTTAAGTATCGAAATCCAAAAACAAATCTGATTAAGGGATATTTACCATTGAGCGAAGCACCAAGTTCATAGACATTGCCATTGTGACCTTGCGCAAGTGATCCGCGACCTCGGGGATGACCAACATCTTTGTTGGGTTCAAGAAAGCGCCGCCCTTGAGGACACCGTAGATACCGTCATCCGAGCTGATGGGTGAATTGATGACTTTTTTCACTGCATCAGAGATGACGTTCTGGGCATTTTCCTCCAGAGCAGCCAATTGAAAGACGACGTCGGTCCACTACGAGTGGGGGTTTTTCACAAACCAAATAGTCAATTAAATTCGGGTCCATTTCAGAGATTGTCGGATAGCAGCTTACTACCCCAAATCCTTCCACGATTGGCCCCTTCGGCACCTTCCGCTTGAATGCCCAGATAGCCATCCCACCGGCCATTGCGAAGTTCAACACGTTCAAAACCCAACCGACCGGGCCAGTCTCAGCCCCCATGAGCATCATGACGTCCATCATCACTACAAAAAAAAAGAAATTAAGCAACTTTCGTTTTTTGTTTATCCTTGAAGGAAGTTATTGAGCTTACGGGTACCCGAAACTTCCATCATGGTAGCTGAGATAGCCAAGGATTGCTTGCCATGCGTTGCCCCACTGATGTCGACAGCTGGGAACCTAAGAAGTGGATCTCGGATTATAAGCTCAAGAAGCTTTGCGTTCTGCCGGGACTTTATAGCACACTTACATAGTCGAAATCAAACTGTTTACAGTAGCTTTTGTGCGCAAGATTACAACGAGAGGGGATCTATGTCAGTAAGGAGCCTCATTCTTGCTCTAGAAAGTTGACCTGACCTTGGACTATGTTGATCGCGTAACCGATCGCCGCGAATGCCATGTTGCTGATGGAATTCCATTGTTGGAGCGCAAACAGAATGTACCAATCCTGATCAGTCACGGGATAACACATTTGTCCGGCGTCACATATTGAGCCGATTCCGCAGACGAAATTAGACGCGTTCTTGGATCCCACGTAATCCTGTGGAAATCCAATGAAGAGGAAGAGTTTGACTTAATATTTGTGCACTTTTCAAATTTCTGAGCGGGTTTGTTCTGATGTTTTTTTTTTCTTCTTCTTCTTCTTGTGTGATTCACGCTTACAGCTAAATGAATCTTGTCTCCATTTGGATAGTTCTTCAGATAATCGTCTAATCCTAGTTCGTCCCATGTTTCTGGAACCAGAGGCAGAGGATCGCATGATCTTGTCATGCGTTTTTCTAGCATATTCCATGTTGAATGACTGCTGTTTTGTGAAGTGGAATGTTTTGATATTGAAGTTGGGGGAAAATAAGCTGAACTAAGAGGGGAAAGGCTTTCGGGATTGAGTGTGCAAGGATTGGCCTGAGATGTTGACGGCCTTGCGCATCCTGGATGTAATAGTGAGAGAAGAATGAATGAAAGGATGAAAAGATGGTGAAATTTGAATGATTGAATTTGAAGAAAAGATAGAGGCATTTGTGTAAACCGGGGTTGCTTAAAGAATGTGAACGTTGAAACAAAGTCAAATATTGCTCGTAAAAATTATGATATGACTCAATAAAAAGAGAGAAGAACAGTGAGGACGGCGCTGATGAGCCCGTCATAAAGGAGCTCGGAAGACGGTCAGTAAACATCCTGGATCCCGGTATAGAGCAACCAGGTCCACAAGGGGCTCAAGCCCCAAACATGATCAGGGGAGAAACAAAGAATATGTTATACATCTGTGTCTGGACGGAGGAGGCTTTGGTCGCGAGCGTGTCGTAAGAAGTCCTTGCCCTTCGAGCAACATCCTGGGCGGTACCCGGCAAGGCCAGATGCATGCCACCAGATCTCCCAACCCATTACTCCAAGCCGCAATTTCGCCGGGGTGCCTGACCAGAAAGACTCTGTTCGGTCGCAGAGGGGGTTCGAGGATCGCGTTGGCCTTCTTGATCCAATTCGATTCGTGCCTCGGCTTGCTTGATAAAGTCAGCCGTCGGGGCTGATGGAACGGATCGGGCATATAATTCCTGTTCCAAGCAGTCTATGAGACTCATGGTTGCTATCCAGTTGGATTATACATCTGGTCATGGGGGGGCCTTGTGGATGGGTTTATCTTGTGGTATGATTGGTACATGCAATCCGGAGAGGCTGTCGCTTTCTTTTTTTTGTATCCTGCGGAGGCTAGATGTTAACATGTTTGTACTAGATGGTAGTGGGGGTGACACTTTGACTTGGTCTTTGCAGTGGAGTGCTGTGCTGGGGTGGATGTATGCGGGTGAGTCGTGAACCCCGCCAAGAATTTTTGAGTTTGTGGGTGCACATAGTCCCAGGCGAACAATGACTGGACGAACCACAACATCCCAAAACCAATGTCAGCAGCAACCAGCAACACCAACGATGGAAGACCAACAAAACGCACCAGATTCAGCACATCCGAACAACCAGAAGACGGCTCGAGACCAAGAGCTGGACCTGTAGAGCATGCTGAGCGGGAATGGCCAGAGGCAGAAGGTTAGTGTGTTTTCAGATTCCGATAATCTCACTCTATGGATATGACCTTTTACTAACCATTTCCCATCTCACACAGTCTCCGGCTCATCCCAAAACCCCCGATCGTCGGAAGGAAACGTTTTACTGCAGGACCACGTCGAGTCGGATCCCAGACCGGTAGATCGTCAGGCGCCTCCTCTTTCGACGGTTATCCATCATCCGCTCGCAAGTGTGGCGAGTCAAAGTCAACCAGATCGCGAACAAAGCCTGACCCCATTGACCGAGACACGCTCTGAAGACCGCCCGTTGACCGCTGAAGTATCCGAGAATGACCTAGAGATCAGTCAGTACGACATCTGGAGCGATTGCGAGCAAGAAGAGCTCGACGCCTTAGATGAAACTGAGCTACTCAACAGTAAAATCCTCAACACCAGTCAGCTTGCCACACCCGCAACGATACAGGATCAAGCCAAACCGTCTCAAGCTGCTCCCGATCTGTCGAATGAACTCGTGCAAGGCATCAGCCAGTCGGAGAGTAATGCATCACCGGACCACCAACCCAGCTCGGCCCAACAATCTATCAATCCAAGCAGATCGAACTCAAGCCCTCTTCATCGCCAGTCGAATCTTGACTCATCTCAAAGTCCTGTCAGAATCAAAAGAAGCGTATCCTCACTTTTCACAACCGGTACCGGTGAACCCTTCCCGATGGCGATCGAACAGCCGATCACTTCCCCACCGTTCGAATCCACCATTTTCCCACCTCGGCGACCATCCGCACCTCCAAATCCACCTTCTATCACGTCTCAGGCTGATGACCGTACGGCACAAATTACTTGCGAAGTCCCCGAGTCAGGTCCTTCGAAATCAAAACCTCGCCGGGCGTTGTCCTCACTCTTTCAGACTGGCGCTGGTCAGCCGTTCCCAATGTATGATCCTACTCATGAGGTACCTTGATTTTGCAATCTCCCCTGGCATCATTCATTTTCCCAAATCCTGCTCTGATAGCTGTCCCGTCTTGACTTGTTTGTTTTCTCAGGGATCCTCTTCGTCGGCTCAGAATCAAGATTGTCCAGTTTTTGGGTTTCAAACGGCCCGAGGTAACACGGTTGCAGCCCCTTCCAAAGAGTCTATGAGAAAGGCGCTAGATATTTGCAATAATGACAACCTATCCCCTTTCCCTAAACCACACTACAAGGAGCCCGACTCCCCTAGTCCTTCGCATCGAGGTACGTTTTTTTCTTTTCCTTGAAATCACCTGTTAATTTGAGTTCTTGTGGACGTAATGTTTTATGCTTCGCAATTCAGCTAAAATGCAGAAAGTCAACTCTCAAAGCGTCTCTCCAAGTAAAATGTCAAATAATCAAACCGATGATAATCAATCTCAAGCCGATATGATACCTGCACGTACTCCTCAGGCTAAAGAGTTTTCCCCAACGGGTAGCTCTGTAATGTATCCACCGATCACCAAGTTTGACTCCTCCAAGCCGTCAGTAGGCCTATTCAGTACGGGAGCTGGTGCACCCATACATATTCCTATCAGCGCAGTCGAACGTGCCAGAGCACATTTAGATAACCCTTCCCAATCTTCAGAGCTGCATCCACTTCCAACAAACGAATCTAGTTCGCCTTTGAAAGATGTATCGAATCTCCGGCCCGCTTCACAAAGCAATCATCGAATGACCCATGATCTCTTGACGGGTTCAATAAATCGCCAATCAAATCACCACTCCATCTCAGCCAAGCTACACGAGTCACTTAACGCAGTTGTTCCCAAGATTCCTTCCCAGCCGACTACCGCCGCCTCCTTGATGTCTACTCCAATTCGAACACTATCCAATGGGATTTCGCGACCTAACCTCCAAAATTCACCGCATGAACCTATCTCGCTACCCTCTGTCCCTCATACTACCACCGCCCCGGTCAGACGGATCTCAAATAGAATGCACATCGGCCTGACCCCGCAGTCATCTTCCAGAAGAGTCTCTCATGAGAGCAAAGGCCCAGAACCTCGATCATTTATTACCCCGTTCAAGAAGAAGATCGAGGTCCCCCATGCGAAGCCTGGCCAGTTCAACTCTCTTTGCACTCCAGCTCGGGACTCTTCAAATCTTTACCAATGTGAAGAAACACCGTCATTAGACCCCTCTCGCCGCTCAGTGATGTACATCGATCCGCCCACCCCCTTCAGTAGACAGGGATCTTCGGGCAAGCCTCAAAGTGTCTTCGACCTTTCGACCAGGTCAACACGAAGAAAAATTCCGATGGTAGATTGGCTAGCATCACCTAAGGGCTATTCGGCGCGTCATTTACTGTCTCTTGCAGTGTGAGTCGGAAATGCCTTGGCCTAATTCTTCATGCATCGATTGGCCTCTCAGAGAGGAAGATTTTTGAGTTTGCTTTTGGAATCATGTTTGTTTATTCTTAATCAATGATCATGGTGGGCTTTGACGTAGACCAGAATCGGTAGTCTTTATGACTGCCAAGTCGGCGGCGATCTGGTCCTTCAATGCGTTCACCGAACCTTTCGGGGCGATACATGCTCTTGGTGAACTGCTTCAAGCCGGTTGCTCGATCAACAGATGCTCGCCTAAATGGGTGGCTAATCATTGGGCTTTGATCATTTGGAAGTTGGCCGCTATGGTCAGATGGCAACCCGATTGTTTGTCACGTGTCTGGAACCCTTCGAATGCCGTCCAGCAGCTTAAATACCGGTGAGGAAGCTAGGAATTTCTCACAAACACACCGACATATCATCGTTTACTATTTACTACAATCCTTTATGACACCGCCACAGCTGGCTCATGTTTTTGTTTCTAATGTAGGTATGAGCGAGAGTTTGTGTGTGGTGATCGTTCAGCTCTGAAGCGAATTCTAGATAATGATTGCCCATCCAGCATGCCGATGTGTCTTGTGATCGTAGGTATCATCCGACGGCCGGGTCCATCCTCAGCCACCAAGGGCATTCCCGTAACCACAGAAATCCTCGAGCTCAGTGATGGCTGGTATAAGATCAAAGCCCACCTGGACCCGGTCTTGGCGCGAGTGCTGAAGCGGGGGACTCTCAGGGTGGGGTTCAAGCTGGCGATCAGCGGGGCATCGACCGAGGCTCCGGCGGGCCCATCTTCCAAGTCCTCAGGAGAGAAGAAGAGCACGATCTTGAAGGAGACAGACGATGGAAAGGAGGAAGAGGTACGATTGTACCTTGAGGGCAACGCGACTTCACGAGCCCGTTGGCCCGAGACCCTCGGCTTCCGTCCTCGACCTTGGGTCGCTTCTCTCCGTAGCCTCTCCCCCGACGGCGGGAGAATCCCACTGATGGACATCGTCATCTCGAAAGTCTTCCCCCCAATGTTCGTCGATCAGGAAGGACGTATGGGCCGCTGGGGAGTCGCCGAAGAGAATATGCTACAGGTCGCTTGGGAGGTAAGTGACCACAACTCCTGACTTCTTCATTTGCTCTCCCTGCATCAACCCACTCATCTCCCCCGAAATCCGCTCCTCTCTCGCTTCGTGTGTAGAAAGAAAGGGAGAAAGAGGCGGCCAAGATCGCCGGCGAACAGGAACAAGAGTTCGAGAAGATCCAGCAAGTCGCGGATTTAGTCGCCAGTATCTATGCCGCCAAAAGCGATGGAAAGCGGCGTGTCTCGGGTGATAAGAGGAATGGGGAAGAAGCAGACTCTGAAGAGTTCGCAGCATTCGATGGTTTGTCTCTTTCCCCCTTACTCCAAAAAAAAAAAGAAGATGATAATTCAAGCAAAGGATCCTGGATGAAATGCTTATACCTGGATTGATTCCCCGGACACGTTGGATGTAAAAATTGATTGTCGTTAGCCGATGAGTTGTGCGATGATTTAATTGAGGACGATGCGTCTATGGAAGTGATGAAGCAACTATCGGTCACCAACCTTGTCCAACTTCGACAATCAGTGCAAAGACGCTGTGATACCTTCCGGAGCAAAGCAGTCGACGAGCTCCAAAAAACTCTCAACGTAAGTCTCTCCAATCTATCTAAAGGGGGAGAGTCAGTCAATTTTGATGTTTTTTTCTTATTTTTTTTTCGGTGGGATGGTGAGTCAAGGGTCCCACTGAGAAGGACGCGACAAGTCCAGCAACTCACCTTCCGAGACTTCCAGACTTTCAAGACTTCTGCTCGAACCCCTTCCGGATCCCCCTCGCGTCTGGTCGGCCAACTATCTGTCCAAGACTTATCCTTGCTTCCCGATCGGTTCTTCAAAGAAGGCGCCCGATATTGGGTCCGTTTGCTTTCTCTCTCCTTCTTTTTTTTCCTATCGAATAGTACACTTGGGTGACGAGCAGCTTGTAATGGACTGACTGACTTTATTGGTTGTGTTTTTGGCGCTGTAACAGGTTCACAACATTCAGCCTCAACGCAACGCTCGTTGGGATCTCTCTGCTTCTTCTTCCTCTAAAAACTTCAAGAATGAGCTCGTCGAGGTCCCCTTATCCACTCGCCGTGATACAACTTGGAGGAACATTAGCTTAGACGCTTGACAAAAATCAAAAAATCAATATACAAATCATCATTAGCCCCCTGCCCCCTCTCAAGACTTATATATAACAACCACCCCAAGTGTTTTTTTCTTCGTACTCTGATCGTCTGCTCATATCTTCTCTGATCTTCTTTGTCTTACCCTCCATCAACATCAACTTTCTTCTTCTTCTTTAAATACGTTAGTTATATCATTGTGTTATTTTAGATATAAAGTGTTTTGGTTGCTAATTTTATGTATACTTACAAACAAACAAAAAAAAGAATGGTTATCATGTTCAGACATATTCATACTGAGATGGAAACAAATTGTGTATGCAGACTTGTTATCTGTTAATCTTAAGCAAGCTTTGTTTTATTTAACATGAAAACTTTAAAGACTAGCATTTTTGAAGGTTGTCAAGATCACGAACATACGGTGATCACATCAGATAAGCATAAGTAAATGTATCTTCTCTATCGCAAAAACCAGAGTTAACATTTTGGGAGGTTGAGAAGATCAGGTGACGAAAAAGACTTGAGAAAGATTGTTTGGATTGTCAGTAAAGCAAACCGTGGCCTATGACGTACATAAATATGTCTCTCCCGACCCACGGAATGTCCACACCCAGGATTTAACACTTCAGTTGAGATGTTCCACCATCCTAGATAGATAGGGCATGCAGACGACCGGAGGATTGCCACTTGCTCCGGCCGAACTACGGCCGAAAAACAATTCTGTCCCAGCGTCGTAGAACTGGACAGACTCGATAAAAAGTGCAACCACATCTTGGAATTGTTCTCAGAGTGAGATGTATATTTATGTATGCTACGTAAATTGTTAAATCACTTTCATTGCCTTGATCAGTCCGTGCACATAGGCGTAAACCCAGATAAATAAAGTCACTTCTGTGTGGCTGTTTCTGGCTGTTCTTTTGTTCAACAAACTTGTCAACGAAATCTATTTTACGTAAATAAACCAACCATATCAATATTTCTTGATTCGCTTTTCCGAACTGCGCTCCCATGGTTTACAACAACACATATCTTGGGGGGGGTTCTTTTTTTTCTTCTACAGCACCCACCCACGGGCCACAACTTGTACTCTTAGGAGCCTTGGCTGCCCTTGTACTTTTGGCAGCAGTGCCAGTAGGGGTGACATATGGTAGTGGCACAGCTTATACTTATAGTGTTGAACCGGGCAATCAAAAAAGCGACGCAGAGGGCACACAACAACTTAACACCGTGCCCCAAAATTGCAATGTGTCACATCCAGACTGGCTGGCCTCCGCGTCGGTCAACCAACAAGACTTTACGTATTAAATATGTACGGATTCCTCTCGCAAGACTCAAACTTTGCACGGGTGAGTTCCTTCCGAGCGTTCAAACTTTACCAGAAAGTATGTATTAATTAATCGCTAGTTGGCTTTGAACCGTACAGCCACCGTCACACTCTTTACGGTTTGAATGGAGGGACTTGTATGTATTAGGATGTAATCAGATTTGTATTGGAGCCAGATTTGAACGAGGATTGCAATTCCAGGCCACTGGGAATAAGTCCCAGAGTTGTACATGGTGGCTTTGCCTGTATCTACGGAAGCCCACAGGGGACTCCAATCGGCTCACACTTTTGAAAAATGAAGTGAAAAATGAAAATACAGATTTCTGTATTCCATTTAAAATACAGATTTCTGTATTTCACAACTTCAGAATTCAAAAATGTATTTTCAAATCACATAGTCTATTATGTGTTTTACCTTCTGGTATCGGAAACATGAGAACAGAATTCTCAGATCAGGCCTCCTCCTTTAGCACAAACATAAAGAGGAAAGTTATATAGCCCATGAATGTCGGTTTTCCACATTGCAGTACAGGCACGGACTCCATATCGATACACAACTATTCACAGGAGACTCGGCACATATTCGGGGGTGACTTGATGAGCAAGATGAGCAGTGCGCGCTACGCGAGGTCATCTCAGACGGGGATCTGGGCAGAGCTTCCCAAGAAGCCGGCGATCTCAGCATTCTTGTTGACCGACAAGCTCCTGAGATCGCACGGGCTACAAGAGCCCCTAAGCCGTCCCAGAACTCCTGCACAACTGCAAGCTGGAGAAGGACTTCTTGGTTGGCGATGTGGGGGGTGATGGTATTCAGCGGGCCCTCTGGAGGAGTGAACCAGATTTCCCCCATCAGCCTGGTTCCTGCCATGATCGTCGAGCTCATGGTCGTCCTGTTTCTCCTTGCCCTTACTGCTGCTGATAGTCCTTCTACGATATTTGAGGGAAGAGCTACGGTGACTGGCTGATGAGGAAGAGGAAGGGCTGGTGGACCTGGATGCCGCGACATGCAAGCGGTTCTTGCTGGTTCTTGATCCGGTTCATCAGCTTCTTGCCACTTGGCAAACTGATCATCACCTGCGAGCTTGCCTGGTTGCCCGACCCGGCTGGCTCCTTCAACATCCGCTGTGGGAGTGGTCCCACCTTGAGCATCCTTGGTGTTGCCCCAAACGGTCGGCTCTTCAGCTCCTCTCCCTCCGAGTCAGAGCCCGACTTCTTCCGCCGCTGTTGTTGTACACTCGACGATCGCTTCAAACACATATGTAATAAACCATGTGATTTTAAAATACAGCTGTTCCCAAAAACCTTGCGGTTTCGGGAGGCCTGTATTTCAGAAGAAAAATTTTAGCGCCACCGATTTTTTACGCCTCACGGCCTGTATAGATTCCAGTACAGGCTCTGTTTTGGCTGCCGAGGCCTCGGTGTGGGTTCCGATGCCTGCCAGCTGCCAGGCAGGGGTTGGCAGAGCCCCCATGTGGTGAGCGGCCCCTGACCAAAAAATGGAGAGGATTACAATGATCCAACTCCCACACACTCAACTCGGAAAATGTGGGAGTTGGGTCCTGTGGCCTGAAGTACTGTGGCCATACAGGGCCATGTACAGGAGAGAGTGGCGCTAAAACAAAGAGGCAAAAAAACAAATTCTTCGGAAATACAGCCTTCCCAAAACCGCAAGGTTTTTGGGAACAGCTGTACATGTTTGAATTCTGCATTTGTAAAATACAGAAATCTGTATTTTAAATGGAATACAGAAATCTGTATTTTCATTTTTCACTTTTCACTTTTCAAAAGTGTGAGCCGATTGGAGTCCCCTGTGGGCTTCCGTATGTATCTGAGTGATACGCATGCTTAACACACTCAATGGGACGTTCACGTTGGATATGTATTTATGTAGCTTCATAAAACAATTGTATTCCAAAAGCCCGGCGGCGACTTCTTTGAAGAACTCGTGCAGACGGCGCCAACCTTCCGGCAAATGTGAAAAATCCTGGGGGCAGTGCCAAGCTCTACACAACACTGGTCACTTCCTTCAGCGTCGCCGCCACAACAATAGAGATACATACATACATCTTTTTTTATACGCTCCATCCAGTTCTGGCAGAACCTGACTTGAGGGGAACTTTCTTCTTCCGGGTGCCGCTCAAGTGGATCGGATTGACGCAGTTTTTTTTCTTTTTTTTTCAATAGATGCGCTTTGGAAGATCTTAAAAGCTCCCCAACTACTGGGTTCCAATCTCCAGTCACCTCACCATTTTTCGAGCGTCGACAAACATCAAACTTCTTATCATATTTATATATCCACCAACAATCTGTCTAAAACTCTTTCTCCTTACGCGATGGCCCCTCATGATCACCAGACAGGCCATCCGATGGGTGGTGGGAGAAAACTGAACCCCCCACGGATTATGACCTTGCCCCCCCACCAGGACTATGTTCATCCCACTCGTCCCACCTCTCTCCGCCATTCTTCTTATTGTCAGCAAGACTCGCCAGACCAGAAGTCCTACCAGCCTCTCCGAAAATCGCAGTATCCCAGTCCATCTAGCGCCATGGAGCCTCCTAGGTCTGCCCAATCATCTCATCCAACACTTTCAGCTGGCAGCACTTCCTCTGCCAACGAGCCCGTTTACAAATATGCCTCGGCGCCCAACAACGAGGCTTCTGCCCGTAAGGAAAAGTCAGTCGTCTTTTCCCCCTCTCTCTTTCTTTCTCTCTCTCTCTTGAGACAGATAGGCCGCCCGCTCCTCGAGTTCTTTGGAGCTGCCAATTTGAGACATTTCGCCCAAAATAACCTGTCATCTTTTTGGCCGCAGTACGTATTCGTTAACTGTCTTCCAGCAGCCCCGTCAGGCTCGTATGGTAGGCAGTGGAGAAAAAGCAGATCGGTGGGTGTTTGTTGATTTTCTTTCTTCTTCCTTTAAAATGTCAGTCTTTTGAAGAAGAAAATCGTCGGACTCGGGTAGAGGAAATCCAGACCTGTGGTGAATTGAGTTGCTGACTTGTGTGTCCCATAAAATCCATCAGTCGACCCGTTGATCCTCCACCGATCCTAAGATTCGAGGTGTCTCATTCGTCGAACAAAAACAGCGCAGACATGACCTTACTACGCTCCCCCTACTTCCTATGCTACTGCACATTATGTGAGGGCAATGCACCCTACAAAGAACTCTACGGGATCCCGCATTCCAATAAACCCTACATGGTCGGCAACATCGTCACCTCCATGTTCCAGCTCCGCGCGGGCAAAAAGGACAAAAATACTCATATCCCCGAAGGCCATTATTTCGTCTTTCACGACTTGGGAATTCGCGTCGAGGGATGCTATCGGTTCAAGTTCAGTGTGTCAGTCAATGTGCTTTCCTTTCTTTTTTATTTTTTCTCTCCAACACGAAACACTTTTTTCAGTTCGTTCGGAAGTTTCACATTGGAATTTCCACAAACACCTGACAAGCGATGCTTTATTTTGTCAACCAGATACGAGATTGTGGACAGAAAAGTGTATCTTTGTAAATCGACGATGAGCGACAAGTTCCAAGTATTTCCACCGAAGGATTTCCCAGGGATGAACGAATCGACGGCGATGTCGAACTACATGGCGGCGCAAGGCTTACGGATGCGGGTGCGGACGAAGAGTCTGAACGTGCCGAGCCTGAACGGCAACTTCGAGTGCGTGAAGACTGGCTCGAAGAAGCCAGCCAAGAGGAAGTCAGCCAGCGAGGGCGAGAAGCCCGGCGCCCGAAAACTCCATCTCCATCATCACCCCAAACTGCCCAAGAACAGTCTCCCTCAATTCTACCATCATCATCCCGCCGACATCAAGCCCATCTCCCCGCCGGAAATTCCCTCGAGTCTCGAAGGCCACAAGCCCCGCTTCTCGCTCCCCTCTCTGCCCATGATGTTGAGCGGCTTCAAACCCGAATCGAGCTCTAGAAATCCCCTCTTCTCCACTGATCCTCACAGCAGATAGCACCCCTAAAAAACCCCTATCTATTCTCATTCTTGCCCCCTTGGTTGCCGCCTCCAAACATAATACTTGAGCGATCAATCCAAGCCATCGAGTTATAGACTCGATCCGCTCCACCTCTCCATCAAACACCACCCCCTTCCCTTCGACTGCTGGATTCTCTTGGTGATTGGGCGATTGTGTGGGCTGTGACTGCATACGCATCGTTGTGTAGTCCTTTGGCCTTGCCTTGTAAATATGACAACAGTTCCAATCTTAATCAGGTTTCGAGATACCTACTACCACTTTATCTATATGCTTACTGATTCCCATATTTATTGATCTCTCACAAGACACCCCTACCCTCCATCTGATCAAAATCTGTCCCCCCCCCATAGGTCTTCTTTTTTTATATATTGCATGTCTCCTCACAATGTTTATTTGTTGGATTCAGGAAAGTGATCATGCAAAAAAAAAAAAAAAAAAAAAGATCATGTGTCGATCAACGCTTCATCGAGCTCATCATCTATCTGTATCATATATAAACATGAAAACAAAAGTGAGCTGAAAAGAGAGGAGATGCATCGCACAGATTGTAAGCACTGCAAAGTGAGAATTCAGGGGCATCTGCTTGTTTTTTTTTTTTCGCCAGCGACGGATCATCAAGCAGACGACTGGCCTTGATTTCACTGCCCCTTCATTGCATCCCACTGCGTTCCATTGATCCCAGAATCGACTGACTTGATTGAGGCTGAGAAGAGAAATGGATGATGGACGAAACTGAGGAAGTTGGCTGACAATAATCGTGCGCATCAGCTCGACTGCCTCACTGAGACTGGAGCTTCAGCATACATGGGCTTTTAATTTATGTTGTCTGTCAGTTTTGTGGGGTCTTCTTCACCTCCATACCGACTCAATTCGGACCTGTATTATATACATTTAGCATCCTTCAGGTGATGATGGAAGGTCATCAACAGCTTCTCATGTGATGATGTTTTCCTGATTCTTGTCTAACTTAACTAAGTCCCTCCGGGCAATTGATCCGATGGCTTGCCAGAGGGACTTACGGGCTATGTGCCACCCGCGGGCCATGAGGATTAGGCATTTGGCTGGGCAATGTTTCAAAACCCATCTAGCCCACCCATTTTTGAACTTTTTTCGCGCTGGGTTGGATGGTTGTGATGGCCTGACGCTTGCGCATCCGCCCATCTCATCAGCGACTGTTTGTCCCCCAAGGTTGCGCTTCAAAGCAGCCATCCCGGATTTGAGCCATCCAGATTATGCGGTAAGGGTCTGGCGGAAAGTCTGACATCTTCCACGCAGGGAGGCTGTAACTACAGATACAGCCAGATACAGCCTCACTTGGCCCAGTTATTATGTCTCAGCAGATGATATGACCGGCTGTATTTTATGCAGCTGCCGTTGTTTCTCAGATGCGGCGGCTCATACAGATTGAACATAAAAAACCAATTATCGGGAGCTTCCATGAAAGGCCAGGTGGGCAGACCGTCGGTCCCATCCCAACGTCTTCGAGGGCACTGTGAGAAACTCCCAGGTCAGCCCCTCATTTTGATGGGCGTCTTACCCGGTGTGGGGCCCGGAACAGGACTTGTAGAGAGCTTTGAAAAAAAATCGACTTTTTTGTAATCCTCATGTGCGAGGAGGGTGACTTAGCACATAAGTCCCTCCTTCGGAGGGTCCCTGCGGGACGGCGTCCCCCCTCCGAATAAAGAGGGACTTAGTTAAGTTAGGATTCTTGTGTACCTCAAAAAAATGAAACCCCGGCTCTGGTTTTCTCGGAGGAGAAGAAGATTCGTTCGAGAATTGGCCACATGAACAGTGACTCAAGAGAAGAACGGCAGAAAAAGTGAATGCGCCGTCGGGGATTCGAACCCCGGACTAAAGCTGATTCGCATGGAAGGCTTCAATGCTAACCACTACACCAACGGCGCATGACGTAATATCGGTACACAGCCATCCTCGATCGCATCCAGTATTGTGGCGAGGAACACACCCTTGATCGAGCAATACAATTAATTTTATGGCGAAGCATGAATCACGACGGCGAAGCCTCAACAAAGCATGATACATACAACGCGAAACAAACGTAAATCACGATAACGAAGGATACGTGATACGCGTAATACCAATGTGTCCTCCCCCACCCTCCGGAAAAAAAATTTCTCCATGTTGACCGGAGATGGAGACAACAGCAGAAGCTCTGAAGCAAAGACCGTGGTCAATATGGGGGTCGAACCCATGACATCCGCATGTACTGGTCCGAAACGGCTTCGGAACCCGAGGTATTAGTACGGCGCTCTAACCGACTGAGCTAATCGACCGGCAGATATGAGGCTAACAGGCACCCGCGTTTTTGGCCTACTCGGAGATTCCGGGGAAGGTACTTGTGAGGCCCAAACGTGCTCCGTCGATCGTGAATGAGACGGCAGGATGAAAGCAAGATGAGGAAGAAAAGAAGACAATTGAAGGTGTGTTTTGGTTATGTTTTTTAAGATTGGGAAAGGCTCCCGTTCGAAGGCAGTGATCCAGTTCAAGATTTTGGATTTTAATTTTCGGAGAGTCAAGCAACACAAACCAAGAGAGAAAAGAAAAAGCTGCTTGATGATGTTTATTCTAGACTCTAATATTGAATGAAAGACCAAAGAAAAAAAAAAAAAAAAAAAAAAAACGGATGGATGGAAGATGAAAACAATCGATTAATCTACATCATCCAACAAACACACAAGAATTAAGAAAACGTCGGGATAATCGGGATGAGGGTGACGAGGGTGGAGGATGCATGCGACCCAAGATCAAGAGGAGAACAAAGAGGTCTCAGACGATGGAGTTTGAGACGAAGAAGTGGGAGATTAATGGAGATATGTGGAAGCTCAAGAGGGGGAAAGAAAAGAAAAGAAGATACACAACTATGTACAGATAAAGCATAGAGAAGAGCGAGGAAACAGGAGTTACCAATGGCAGATGCAAGTAGTGCACGTCGAAGAAGAGATGAATGGAAGGGATATGTACATGTATGTACATCTGTCGGCGTTTGTGTGAACAAGGACCACTGGGTAAGGACGGTCGTGGCGAAGATCACTGTGGCCCGCGCGAACAAGATAGACGACGAGGAAAAGAAACAGACAGAGGGTGAATGGAGGGTTAGTATGATCAGGACGAGAGAAATCGAGCTCGGAAGTCGCTTGAGTCAAGACAAATGTGGAGAGATTCCGGAGCTCGATATAAAGAAAGATTGGTTGGCTGCTTCTTTTGTTTTGTTTGCTATACACTGAGAAAGATGACTCGTGAACCCAAAATAAATCAACAAAAAAAAATACCAGGAGCTCTGATGTGATGCGATAGAAAAACGAGACACGGGAAGGGATTGAAGAGGATCTTTGTGACCTATATGTAGGCTCTTCTTGAGATATGAAAGTCAGACCACGCCGGAAATGATAACCAAGATTCTTGTGATGACCGTTGTGGGTATGCATGTTATACATAGGGTGAGAAAATGATCTTCGTCGAGAGTGTGAATGTGAGCACAGCCTCAAGGGAGAAATAGAGAGAGAGAGACTTGGGGCCAAGAGTTGCGCAAGATCGAAGGACCCAAAAAGAGGAAAAGAAGGTGGTAGAAGAAGAAAGAGAGACGAGGAAAAAAAAGTCAAGAAGGAGGTACCAATTCATCACGTCTTCCAGACAGATAGCCGTCGAGGAAGGTTTCGAGTCCGAGGTATTGGACGACCGCGACTTGGGAGATCAGGCTCCACTCGAGTATTGTTTGCAGATCCAGGGCCGAGCGGTCGTCGCGGATCGTGTGCCAGACCTGCGGAAACGGCGCGGCGATCAGATGCAGGATCGGCACGCCTTCCTGTAAGAACGGCAAATGATCATCTGATTATGTGCCGTCCCCAAGCAAACCAAAATGAGATTATTAATAAGGTGTGTACATTTTGAAAGCTTGATCGGGCCATCCTGTTAGAAGTGAAACTGACTGACCTTCGATAGATCCAAAGGCAATCGGTTGACCGGGAAGACGTTTGCGGAAGAACGGCTTGCGAGTTCGGAGGTTCTGTTGGACGTTATTTCCGAGATGGGTCGCGAGAGATGGGATGGAGGGGAACAGAGTGAAGGTGGATTTGCGCATCAGTCGGGCCTCGACTTTCTCGAACGAATCGAACAGCCAGCCCGTCTCGGAGAAGAAGTTGTGCATCTCCGGAGCCGGACTGCCTAGAAGATCGTACAGGATGAAGCTGTCGATCGCGTCGATCGATCGCAGCCGTTTCTGCGTCGCCGTCGGCGTCCGTAATGGCTCAGACCATTTCTTCGCTAGTTCTCTGTTCTCATCATCATCATCATCATCAAAAAAAGGGGGGAAGAAAGCAAACCCAAGAGAAACAGTTGACAAGTTAGTTTCCAGAACCTGGTTTGCTACAAACAGAGACAAAGCAATTTTTGTTTGGGATATTTACCTTGCACCATATAAAGAGTCTGTGTGGCTCCATTCCCGAAAAGCTTCCTCGCCATCGAGGAGGACGATCTGTAGAGTGATACGTTCGGCGGTCATTCCAGCCTGGCCGAGTTTGACGTCATGGGCCAATTTTTTATCGAGCAGGGGAGTGAGAGCTTTAGCGACCTCGAGGATGATAGCGACGGGAGCGGCGCTATCGGTGGCGCCGACGAACTGGTTGTCAGGCGGGTTGGGGAAGAACTTGCTATCGATATGTGCGGCAAGGACGAGTCTGAGAGGGGCGGTGGGGTCGTGTGTGAAGACTTGGTTCTCGAAGGACTTTGTGCCAAGTGGGGTGGATGCCTTGAAGGTGTGTGTGTCTAATTTCCAGGTTTGGATCTCCCTCAGAGGGACGGGAGAATATGAGGGCGGCTGGCGGGAGTTGACGAAGAGATTCGACTGGAGAGGGACGTCTATGTGGGTGGAGAGTGATTGGAAATGCTGGGCGAAGAGGGTCCGACAGTCGCTCAGGTTCTTGCTCTCGACCGGCCGCGGGATCAGGATCTTGGACAAGAGCGAATCGGGGTTGTAGAAGTTTAGGACCGGCTCCGGGTTGGAGAGGTTGAAGATCAGATTGAGCGAATGGTCGAGGACTTGGGTGTGGTAGTTATCGTTCTTGATCGAGCTTGAGGAGACCTGGAAGCCCACATGGTCCGGGTCAAGCAGGCTCAGTAGGAGGATCGTCAGACACCCCAATCCTATCGAGACGCGGCCATGGGTCGTGGGTTTGGTCGCCTGAGATCTTCCTGACCGGCTTGCGCCCAGCTCGTGAATTTGGGGCTGCATCAATCACCTGAAAGTGTTCTTCGGTTTGATTATTTTTATTTGCAAGAGGTCCAGGCCAAGATATGTCCAAGCTGAGGTTCGAGAAGGTTGTACATAAATATGTGTCTGTTATCTCGAGCGATGGTGCGGTGGTACCCCCTTTCCGGCGAAAGAAACACGTACATATGAGCGATCTTTCTTCGACAGTTTTGAAATTGATTTGAGACAGTCTCCTGATGAAACTGGACAAGCGATTACTGCAAGGATGAATAGGAAAACTGAGCTTACTTTTACTTTGAAAATGTTTCCAAGCCTGTCGAGGAAGTATATGTAAAGAATGCCGACCCGTCGTGAGGTTGGTTGTTCTGGTTGGATTCTTTCCAACACCAGGCCATCCAAACCCACCAAAACACCTCCGCCGGCGACTGTCACTGTCCATCTAAAACAAGTCCTGCATGTTCACCACTGTCAGACGGCTCTCACTGCTGAAGCCTGAAGGGACCATCAAGTCATCAAGAGAATCTCTATCAGGACCTGATCATCATCCAATTTGCTATCTTGCAAGCTCACAAACAACACTTTCGTGTCTCGGTTCAACGGGGTTCAATCCATGAGGGGTGGTTGCTGGAACCGGTGCAACTCAACAAGTCCTCTATGTAAATCTCTTGCAAAACGACGCAAAAAACCCACGAGAAGCGGAAGATTGCATCCCATCCCCTTAAAAAGTGGTTTGCAACTTAAACCTTGCACCCAGGTTGTCTGGATAAACGATAACTCTGCAGGGCATTTTTTTGGTGCTTTATATGGGCCGCAAGGATTATGACTTGCAAGAATCCACTACAGCTTCATTTTTCACGCTTTCAGTATGAGTGATTCAAATTTTGAACACCACACTCTGCAACCCTTGCCAAGAAAAAAAAACATGACATCATGATGGTGGACACTAAAAAAAATGAAAAGGAAGAGGATCAAGAGGAAAAATCACATGCTCGATACTTTCCCCTCTTGATTCCTGTTAGAGTGTCTGGATGGCTTTGCCTCCATGGCTGGCAAGTTGTGGCACCTGGGAGATGGTGTGATATTCAATCAAATCATTGAAGGCTTTGAAGATCACTCCTGGTTTGGGCACCTTTTGACACATTGGGATCTTGTTTTGATTTCACTCAACATGATCTGTTTGTTCAGAGTGGCCATGTGGGAGATGAAATTAACCCTGTGAGTCATTGGCAAGGACCAGTTTTTCTTCTGTCTTTTTGAGGTTGGCCAACACGACTGTCAATGGCCAGAATTGTTTTGTCTTGTATGTACCTGAATAAGGTGAATGACAAGACTTGTCTGGTTGATTTACAAAAATTAATCAATTTGGCCTGGGTGAGAAGGGCTTGAAGAAACACACACCATAATCCTACAAAAAAAGAAAGAAAAAAGAAAAAAGAAAAAGATTGAAAAGTCCTCAAAGTAAATCAACACAGGAAAGTTTTTTTTTGGTTTGGATGAGGGAGGGGGGGGGGGGGGGAGGTGTTTGATGTGGTACTTGACTCTGAGTGAAGACGAGATGGTAGCCCCTTAATTCAATCAGATAACCCCCATCTTTGAGCTTGGACACCCCCAGGGTTGAACAGACAACCTCTGCTTTAGAATTGGACAGACAGCCTCAATTGAGGAGCAAGGGACCTCTTGCTTCTTGATTTGAATCAATATCACAGAGGCTTTTGTTGGGGCAGTTGACAAAGCAAAGCAGCATAGCAAAGTGCTGTTAATTTAAGCCTTGCTCCACGGAGCTATTTCTATGAGAAGGGGAGAGGGCACTGCACCAAGATTTTGGGCTTGCTGAAACCTAGCAGCCAGTAGCAGTGATACAGTCCACTGAGAGCTTAAACAGTGCAAAGGAAGCAATTCTTCTGTTCTCACAAATAGCAGTGAGGCCTGTCCAGTCATGATCTCATGCATATTAGACAATCAGTGCACTGCCAATTGGATGGTTGGTGAATTTCTAGTAGAGCTGTGGGTTAAATCAAACCAATGGGTGAGATTCCTCCTTGGAAAAACACCCTTGTCTTACTTGGCAAAGAGATTGATTCGGTACCATATTCAGTGGGAAGGTTGGTACTGGCAGTGTGCTTCTAATTATTCTCAATCTTGCCAGATTTCCCAGGTGTTTGCTGGTAATTACCATGAGCTCTCACAGCTCTTTCTCTTATCTATCAGTATCTATCTGCTCTGTGTGATTTCTCCACTATTTCTGGATAGGTTTTTGTTGTAGATTGAAAAGAGCAAAAAAAAGGCAAAAAATACAAAAAACACCAAAAATACGCGGAAATGCAATCAAGCAAAAGAGGGCTTGGTGAGATGGTAAAAACCGTTGATCAAACCGCCCCTGAGCTGCCAGAAGTGAGAGAGAGAAGAAAATGGATGTAATGGAGTGAGAACTTACTTCTTGAGTTGTGGCCAGCCGACGATATTGACCTTTGGGGTGTGGTGATTGAAAGTTGGTCGGACCGAGCTTGGGCAGTACGACTCGTACAAGCTCTACTGTATATTACCTGATCGGTCGATTGGAGCCGAGGTTTGCCGGCTGCTTGGCTGAATTGGCGCTGGCAGGGTTACTGGCGGTTTGACCATGCGCTTGCCGGTTTGCTCGACGCCGGTTTCCGAACGGCCGCTGGTGAGCGAGGTCCAACAATTTGACCGCCGCCGAATTTCGGGCTTTTTTTGCCGGTGCCCCGTAAGTACCCTGCCGTGTCAATCAACTCATCGGACAAGCCCGTCCAACAATCTCTCGGACTGGCTTTATCAAACGAGTTGTGCAGTCCATCATCACCTTCGGGCTCCGGCTGCCGACCTTGCCGGACCTAGTCAGACCGACCACTTGTCGGACCCCGCCTTTGTCAAGTTTCGATCCCTGACCCCTGTTCTGAGGCTTCAGCCTCGAACGCCTTCTTGAACCAAGTTTTTACTTGTAAGTCAACAAGCAGGTTCCAACCAGTCGAGGGTCTAATACCCCTTCTGTGATATTCTGTGACTAACCAGCATTTTACCCTCACTACCGATACCATAGGCATCGATGCTCAGGAGACTCAACTGGACCAGCATGGCCACGGACTGACTACCGCATGATCCATGCGATGCTCGGACCCTTACCCTGTAAGCACGAACAGATGTCCTACCTGTCTGCATCTTTATAAAAGGCTGACCTCCCTTAACCTGTGTGTCCAGCATCTGCGAACCAATATCGAAGCTCTATCCCTGTTCATACTAAAATTCTCCTCCAATCCCCTCGATATCCAGATCATCCCACATCAGACCTGCGACGACCTCGTTCCGCATTTCTGACTTCTCTTTTCCTTCTTCTGTCTCAAAGCTCACTGAAGCTCTTTTCTGTCTAAAGCACCTCGTGCACCTCCTCTTTCTTCTTGTCATCGTATTCTTTCTCTCCTGCATCTTCGCTGTTCTCCACCTGTCACATACACACCTCCTGTCTCATATTGTACCCTTGCTCTTAAGGTACTAGAAGACTCTCTTTTTGTTTCTTATTTCATCATACGTCTTCACTAGCTGTTTTAGCGAGTTCCTGACATGTCTTTGAAATCACACTCTTAAGTTTCCAATTCTCACAGATTTACAGTCTCGACCCTTTAGCGGCAACTCTCGAACGAACGTAAAAAGAGCAAGGACAAAATGGCAGGACTCGCAATCTCCCTCAAAGATGAGCTCTCGATGCTCCCGGTACTCACTGGCGAAGCCAACTACCCAATGTGGACTAAACGCATGAGGACCTTCCTCAAGAACAAGGAACTCTGGGCAGTGGTCAATCGGGACCCAGGTGCTGCCCCCACGGCAAGAATCTTGAAACAATTGTCCGACGCCGGTCACGTCATTACCATGAAGATTGGCGACCGAGTCTATAATGGTCTTGTGACGGAGGTGAATGAGGATAATGGCTACCTCCTCTGGAAGAAGATCACTCAGACCTACTCCAGATACACCACTCATCGATACACCAAGTGCATGACCACTTGGCACGCTATACGGTATGAGGGACGAACTCTAGAATTCATCAAGAACATTGAGGATGCACTTGACGCCTTCGCAGCAATTGCTCATCCGATTCCCAGTAAAGACATCTGCAGCATTATTGTCTCGAAAATCTCCATCACTAGACGAGCTCTCACTGATTCGTTCATATTCAATCCTGAACTGATGGAGAATCATGAGATGCTTATCGATCGACTTCGGGACATAGCTGAAGAGGAGGACGACAACATCAAGAGGAAAGGTGGCTTAGAGAAGACAGCTGTCGCCTTGGCCAACAACACTAGGACCCGCCCACCACCTCGTTGTCGCAACGGGCAGCACAACCCTGAAGCCACTCATCCAGAGGAGCGCTGTTGGTCGGCTCACCCTGAAACACGCATTGTCAAAAATCCGCGACCCAAGCCCTCACAGCACCACACATCAGCTGCACAGCCTTCCGCCTCTCCAGCCAATGCTCCCGGGTGACAAGACTGCTCCTCCCTCGCAGTTTGAGACCCGCTTTTCATGCATATCACCACCGCCATCGG